GTGCCCTGCGGGCCGGGTTCTCCCGCGGGGTCCGAGACCTCCCGGTCCCGGGCCCAGCCCTCTTCGCTCGCGGGAATTTCCCGAAGAAACAGTGCTTGGAAAGGTCCGCGGCTGCTCTGCGGAAGTTTGTGGAGACCACAGTTAGGTCGCGATGCTTCTCAACTGTGGCCTCTTCGGTCCCTCAGCCCTCAGGCGGGCCGCCGAGTTTAGAGATTCCGGAGTCCGCGAGGTCGTCCTGTCAGGATCCTGCACTCAGTCATCCACTCATCCATTGCCAACTTTTTCGATGGATCCGCTGATACTTAGGGTCTTATCCAGCTACCAACAGCCACATTCTCTGCTTTTCTGCCAGTTTTGTTGTCTGAGTTGATAAGGCTTGAGGGGGATTTTGGCGGGGGAGCTCCATGGTTCAATTTGAGATTCTGGGACTTTACTTAGTGTTCCTTCCCTTCACCACTAGTTACTAAGCCTTGAACCAGGATGGACCAGAGCGGTAATCTTGCTAACTACACCGGGAAAGGTAGCAGGTCCAAGCCTGTAAGGGAAGGGTATGCTTTTAGAAGTATTTTGTAATTTTGAAGTACTAAAGGAGAGGGTGGGCGTAGCATATTTACAGACTGTGTTAACATTTGAGAACGGACCATGTAACAAAACCAAGACGTGTTTTATAATTATGTTTTACTGTTCCAGTGAACACTGAATCTGTCCGCATTCACTTTTTGACTAGTGAGCAGGCACTGGTTTACAATTGAAATAATTCCTGCAGAGAAAGTGCTATGACTCATCTAAAATTCGAACTGTAATCATGACATTTCTAATGTTATGTGAAAAATAAACATTTGCATAAGAATGCAATTTTCACTGCATTTTTGACTTGCTGTGTAGATTAGTGGTAGGTAAAACCCCTGCCTTGATTATTTGCTTGCTTGGTTAATGTGAGTTACTATTGTGTGGCTAATGTCTATCAGTATCATGCCTATATTAACATTTTATCAACCTAACATTGTTTTTTAATTGATGCCTCCAATTGAGGTTTGATAATCACAAAGCAAACCTGATACTCTACAATAAAAATGCCTGAAGAGATGCAGCAGTTTTTCATTTGTTGATCGATTGATGGTACTTGTAAGTACATCAGTTGGCGTTTTTTCTAGGTGTAAGATGATTTCTAAAGTAGTTCTTCTGAGTCAGTATTCATATCCGCATATTTTTTGGATATTGTCCACAAATCATAAGTCAGATTGCCTGTGTCACTGTTAGGGATTTGGAAAACATAAAGTCTGTAAGTATAGTATACTTTTTAAAAAGGACTATGGCCAGGGATTTAGCTCAGCGGTTTGGTGGCCTACCTTGCAAGGGCAACGACCC